CTTACTTAGCCCTCCTGACCCTCCAAGTGGTGCTCTTACATCTTGTACCAGCATGAAGCAAGGATGAGTCAATTGTCGGAACTTGAAACTGAGAAGGAGACACAGTGAGTTAACTACAAGGTTCCTGAAAATAATTGTGAATTTCTGTTACCAACAATCCTAATATTTAGCTGAAATTATACTTTCTACTGGGGTTCCAAATCCCTTAGAGTTAGCCCTGAACCCTGAACCCCAATCCCAAAATCTGCCGCATCCTAAAACTCAAACTCCACACCTGAATCCCTAAACCCTAAACCTGAAACCTGCCGAATCCCTCCTGTGAGACAATGTTCCCAAACTCTGATACCCAAATCCCTAAACTCTCTGCAGGTGTTCACCACGCAGATCCGCGTTTGGAGCATGTCCATTATCGCCTTCTGCGGTCGAATGGCTCCAATGGTCCGGGACCCACGATGTATACTCTCCCTTAAGTAGATAGAATATATGGTATATGGGGATCTTGTTATAATATACCCAAAGCCAGATTTTATCTTAAGGGTGACTATAGAGCGTTGGGTATTTGGAGATACCTTGGGGGTCTGTTGGGTTCCTGTTGACTATTGGGGTGTACTTCAAACTCCGAATCCATGCCCTAGGCCTTAAATCCTGCCTGAACCCTGAACCACCCTGTAACCCTAAACCCTGGAACCCTGAACCCCAAACCGCATATCCAACATGTCAACATTGGGAAGTCCGAGGACGTTTAAGGGTGTTTGGGGTTCGCGTTCCAGAGTTGCGGGTTCGGAGGTAAAGGTTTAGGCTGCAATCCGTCCGCCCTATTTCTAAATGAATAAATAAATGTATATATCCTCTTACAAAGCGGATTTTGATTCTTCAATGTTGCTCTGAGGGTGTTAATGTTCGGGGAGAGCGAATGGGTAATTGCCCTAAATCCTGATCAGTCATGTAGCTTTCAGACCTTTTTGCCTGCTCGGAGGTTCTGAATCCACACTTCAGGGTCATGGTTGCAAGCTCAGGGTTTTGAGATTAGCTTGAGGGATTCGGGTTTAGGGCTTGCCTGAAAACCTATTTCCTTAACCCACTACCCAAACCGTGCTGCAACAGCCCTGAACCCTGAACCCTAATCCCCAAGCCCTAAACCCCAACCCCTAAACTCTGATCGCTAAACCTTGATCCCTCTGTCCTACACCCTAAACACCTTGAACCCTACCCCCTAAACCCCATCAATCAACCTCACGTCGGGGCTCTCAGGTTCAGATCACAAGGCACACACACCCACGCTGTAGGGGTGCAGGGTGTGCGGGCTAATTATTTAGTTGTGGCTTCATGAAGGAATGGTGCCATAACCAATTCCTGAGGTATACACGGACCAGATAAAGAGACCGCCAACCTGAGCAACCCATACCCTGAATGGGTTTGCACAGTTTTTTTGTGCCCCCCTTAATTAACCCCAAGGATAACATAATCCTGATCATATGCACCGCAAAAAGGGACCCCTCCCTCTTAGAAACCATTGAACCTAGTAAATCTCGTGTGTTATTGGCCCAGGCGGTGCCGCTTCTGATTCACAGTTCCACCCATCTCTTCCTGTACCTGACCATGGGACTGCCCCTGGCTTGTGAAAGTGGGTGATTGTTTTTTCAGGATCAAACCTGAAACCCCCAACCGTATGGCTTGTTGTTGTAGGGTCCTCATAAATTCCGAGCCCAAACATGCAGGCTGGCATGTGCTGAGTTGCGAAAGGCCCTTAACCTGGACGAACGCCAAGGAAGAGCTCTCCGGACAGTCTTTTTTGAGAGTTTTGTGTGTGTGTTTTGCTGGGAGTTTGTCAATCCTAAACGCTACAGTAAACCTTGGGCACCTTAGGAAAGATGGAGTCGATCAGTGCATTTTAAGGATTGCATCAGTCTCAGAGTTTTCCTGTATTCCCAGAATGCTGGACTGGTTTAGGGTTTAGGGACGGCTTTATCAGAACAAAGCGGAGGACCAGAGCGCCAAGATTAGGCTGTAGGCTGCAGGGTTTAGGGGCTTAGGGTTTAGGTTGCCACTCACGTATCTAAAAGGTTCTGAAGGTTCAGGGATCGGGGTTGAGGACGTTGATATGTGTGTGCGGAGAGGCCGGTCATCCTCTCCCACTCTCTCTCTCTCTCTCCCCTTCTCTTTTCCTCGATCTATTTGTTCTATGTATCCCTTTCTCTCTCTCATCTCTCGCTCTCTCTCCCTCTCTCTCTCTCTTTCTCTCTCCCTCTATTCCTCTCGCTCTGAGCAAATTATACTGACCTCACCTGACCTCAGCTTGACTGATGGTTCATATAAAAAGCAGTCCCACATTGATTCAATTTTTGGTTCTGAGATTCATCTAAAATGGCCAGAATAGTATTTCCCTGACATTGAAGTCATTCCTCCCCCACTTGAAGATTCATTTCCACTTATTTCAAAGGGGTGATATGGGCGGAAAGCCAGGTTCTGGGGATGTGACTGAAGCTTGTTTTTCTACAGGGTGCTTTTTTCAATTCTGGTCTCTCTTTTGCTTGCCATTTAGGGTATCCCAAAAGGGCCATGCTTTGTTTGACCCTAAACCCTACCATAGCAGGCTTTTCAGGCTTTTAAGGACCCCAAGCTGCCAGGGAATGACAGTTCAGGGATTAGAGCCCAAACCCGGCAAAGCACAAGGTTTTAGTTTAGGATTGAGCTGGGCAACTTCTGGCGACCTCACCCTACCTCACCCCAACTGTTTGTTTATATATAGAAAATGGCCCCACGTTGGCGTAATTTCATGTTCTGAACTTGCTACAAAGTGCCAAACCTTGCTGGCTTTGGGCAGCCGCAGCTTCTGATCACACCCTCTAGAATACAGCATCAACTGGAACATGAAATGGACGCTTCGGGATGGATGGGGATATATACATGCATGTGTGTATATGGCGTATATGTGGACATATATTACATATACATCTCTCTCTCTCTAGATATATATATATATGCATATGTATATGTGTATGTATATATAGGGATTGGCAAGTTGGCGTAATTATATAACCCAATCTTAGTTGCAACTATAACCAAATCATAAGCCGCCTCAGCCGCCTAATCTGTTCATATATTCGTTCATGAGCAGCAGTTAGTGTCTTTGGCCCTGAAGCTTCAAGTAGACGTACCCAGACTGCTGGTCTCCTTAACTGGGGTCTCTGTGTTATACGGGGATATGTCGGGGTTTATTATTGTATATGGAGACTCTCAACTTGTTTAGGCAACATATGTAGGGAAACCATATGCCTGAACAACGGTCAGCCCTAAAACCCCAAACCGTGAATGCAAACCTTAAGCTGACGCCATGGGCCCTAAACCTTGCGTGGCTTAGAGTTAAGGCCTTGGGATTTAGGCTTTAGGCTAACCCCAAATCCAACAGCTGGAGCCATATTATATTATAGTATACTGTATTATGCTATATTATACCATATTATTGTTACTACATTATACTATACCATACTAATCTAAGCTACTGTCAAAGGCTGATCGTCGCAGCCATTCTGGTGTGGAGTTTGCCGGAGACCAAGGCCTTCCTGCGTGAGCAGAAGAAGCCTAAGCTTAGGTTATAGGGATAAATAATTGGGGTTTTAGGGTTTAGGGTTTAGGGAATATGGGATATATATTGGGGGTCCATAACGAGTATAGGATATATATTGGGGTTATATAGGGAGTATAGATATATATTGGAGGTATAAAGGGATATTGGGAACTACTGGTGACGGTCATGCTTTTTTGGGTTTTAGGGATTGAGGGTTTAAAGTACCACATGATGTCCATGTTAGGCTTAGGCTTGGAGACTGGCTTAAATTTGTTATAACGCTGGCCCCGTACTGCATCACAATGCAGAGGGCTTCTGGTTTGGACCCATCAAGCCCTGCATAGTCCTCATAATCCTCATATATCCCGAGGGTCCCCAAGGGCCCCCACTCAAACACTGTAGCTTGGGTTTTGGGCTGACTAAACCCTAGCCCCTAAACTGTTTGGCAATCCCAGTTGGGAAGATGGTGTCTAGACAGATGCAGCGCCCATTCATCGCATGATGTGAGGCCACTACAGGCGCAGAGTTCCAAAGAACATTATACATGAGCCCTGAATACCGGTTGAGGGTATTGGACTTAGGGCTCGGCATTTAGACACAATCCTATAACCCTGTACAGCCTTTACAAGTTCCTTCTCTGAGCTCGCGCTATTGGACATTCCCCTCCCGCGCTTGATAGTTACTCATCTGGGCTGGTGAGAGGACCTCAGGAAATTACACCGTTTACAGGTATCATAAAGTCACCCTAAACCCTAGATTCTAAATACCCAACCTGCAAAGGTAAGAATGGGCCACCCAAACCTGAAAAGCGGGGGGTGTCTCAATCTGTAGAAGCCCCTCACCGTGGCGAGGATGCAGAGCTCATCGAGGTCCCGAATGGCCGTCCGATGGCGAAGGTGGAGCTCTGGAATATGGGGGTTTGAGGATTTAGGAGTTTGGGGCTCAGTTCTGGGTTCTGGGTTTAGGGTTTAGGCAGTTTGGGGGCTCAGGGGTAGGATCATGGCATCAAAGTTTGGGGATTGAGGCTTGGAACTGTAGGCCTTGGTACATGCCGGGCTCCCGGATGAGCATCAGGAACTAACCTCCCCCAACTAGTGAGGCTAGTCCGGGTCCCTCTGTGACATTTATAAATGGGGCTGCTCGCTTGAGGATTAGATTTCGGGCTGTGAGGTTGGGAGTTGGCTCTAAGGTGGAACACGTATAGCCCCCCCTTAAGTAGATAGAGTATGGCTTTGGGTATGCAACAAGATCCCCATATACCCCATAGTCTATCTCCTTATGGGGGATTTTACACGGTATTTGCAACTCATGACTTCTGAACCTGCTATACCTGGACGCTCAAAATACGCAATACAAGGGCCCAAAACCCTGAAAAACATACGGCCATTATTCTACATACTTTGGGGGTCCAGGCGAAGCACGCTGCAACATGAGGAACCCCTCATGAGCCTTTGACTTCGGGCGAAACTCACACCATAAACCCCAATCACCTTCTGAGTCCTACACCTTGAACCCTTCCCCTTATAACCCCTAAGCCCCTCAACCCCAAACCCGCCTCCCGACCTACGTAGCACCTACAGTTTTGAAGGTGCGGGGGATGCAGTATGTACTTCTGATTCTTATGATCCCTATTAGCCATATGCTGACCCCAGGTATCCCCCATGACCCTCCAAGTACACCTTCGTGCGAGGACACTCCATCCTACGGCGCGGCCGCAACGTCCGTGCCGGCGCGATGGGCGAAGAAGGTTTTCAGGTTGTTCTCGAACTTGGGGTGTTTGTTTTAGGTACCCTCATGATGAAGACCACATTATTTCAGGGGCGATAGACTTTGAGAGGTATTTCAACAGCATTTGGTGGCCTCTTACAGGATGTTGAGATTCACTGACAGGTTTTCCCAGGCTGTGTTCCGACTTTTCGTTGAACGCCTACGGGGCCCAGGTTTCTGCGACTTTGCCGAGGGCTTCTTTTCTCGTAATTAACATGCGTTTTCTGCTTCACATTGAGCTAGGTGCTGCTGTTCCCTTGTGGATTCGAGAAGCACAGGTTTACGGGGGTGCGCGTGATCGGAGTTTGCTCTGGTACTGTTTCCGTCCGAAACCGGAAACCTCAAGCCTAGACCGCGTGACTCTTAGATTTGTGCGGCGGAGCCTGCCTGGATAGGTTCCCCGGGACCCCGTTTAGGGAGGTTCAGGGTTTCGGGTTACGGTAAGCGGTGGCTTGACCAGGCTAATGTTCGAAAGACTATATGACCCGTAGTCTAAACTCCTTAAAGGGGGTTATATAGGGGAGTATGTAGGGGACCATTGAAGGGTTTACTAAGGGGGATACTCTAAGTTTAGACTATGGCTCATCTGACATCAGGTCCCATGTCATTTTCCATTGTCTTCTCCGTTTTGTTCTCCATTATTGGCGTGCAATGGTGGTTTCCCAAAATGGGGGGACCCCAATATAGACCCCAAAATACTAACTAAATCCTTATTATGGGGACCCCAAAAAGGTATCCCTAATTTTGGGAATACCCCCCAAGCAAGCTCAAGAGGATCCTACAGTGTGGCGTCTGGAAAGGGAGCTCTTGCAACACTTCTCCGGGGCTTTGCACGGAATAGGTTTCAGAAAGTAGCGCAATGTTGCATAAACGTTGTATTATCCTGCCTTTCTCTGTTGAGCACGATCCGGAACTTGAAAGAGCCGAGCTAGCGTCTCGTTCATCAAAAGCCACTCCCCAAAACATGGATCCTAACATTGAAATAATAGCAATGACAGTGGTAATGATAGCATTCTAATAGGAATAATAGCAACAATTGCAATTATAGAACTGAACCCCAACCCCGCGCCATCCGGGACAAGCTGCACCTTTATTGTTAAAAGAGAAGTGGACAAGGTTGGCAACTTTGTGTATGGGGCTGATGAAGTCCCATAACTATGTTGGAAACAGTGCGAGGCGCCCTCCAAACAGGAACTCCTTAGGGCAAGGGAGCCTTACACAACCCTAATGATGTACTATCGAAGCATACCCGCAATTCTTCTCCCCCTGAACCCTGACAAAACTTAAACTCAATTTGCTCGGACTGAAAGGCCGCGGCAGGGTGAGCGAGGCAGTTGTCAGGGGGAGCACCTACAGACTCTACAAATAGAGGCTTCTCAAAAGTTTGGAGCCCCTACAGACCCTACAGAGGAAAAAAGGGATGACAAAAGGGTTCTCGGGCTCCGTATAGGAGATGTGCAAACCTTCAACACTTCAACTCCTTGAATGCTTCAGATGGCAGAACTGCTGCCATTCGCTTCATGAGACAGTAGCTCAGCAGCGCTGTGTGAGAAAAAGAGGTTCAAAGCAGTAATCACGGAGTTTTCCGGGATTCGTCGCGCAAGGCCTTCATACGTCAATCCGCTTTCCAGCGATCGCAGTATGGAAGGGTCGAGCAGTTGTGGGTGTCAATGACGAACGTGATGCAGCTGAGACTCTCTACTAGGTAGGTCTATTGATGGTATTGTCAGGGACGAAAAAATTATGAGCATTGTGGCCCAGATTCCTGGTATGATTATGGCATAGGGTGCCTCAGATAGACTTGAACATGATCTTGCTGGACTATTTAGGCCCCTCATGACACAAACGCTTCATACGCCTCCTATATAAACCGGCTTCTATCATTTTTCATGCTCTTTCGACTTGGTTCTCCATTCTTTTTGCCCAGGTGTAAAATGGCCAGCTTGTGCATGTTTGTGTCTCTGAATGACAAGGGTGACACGTGGGAGGAGGGGCGGCAGGTACAGTGAAAGGATGAGAATAGGAGACGCTAGTAAGAACCCTAGGAAGGACGTCAACTGCTCAAGGCGTCCACTTTCTTTCATGAATGCCAGGGAGATCAGCTCATGATTCTTAATCTCCGGAGCCTGCATGTTTTCTAGAAAGCGGATACACTGCATAAAAAAATGAAGGCAGGGCCAGTTTCAGTTGACTCTTCCGATGGGTTTTCTACTTGTGGTGTAAGAACCGGGACCTTGCAGCGAGGATCCTGGGGATGTACAGAATTCTGTTCGCAAGGACATCCTTATTGCAGGGGATTGTACGGGTATATATGACTACAGTTTTGCGGCATAGCGGTTTGTAGCCCCATGCAGCATCGCAGGTGCTAGGAGCATGATTGATTTGGCGAAGCGACTTGCAATGATATTTCGCGGCGATATCAAGCAGTTCTGTTCTTGTACTTCTGGGCGTGAAGCTGAAGATCGTTTTGGCAGTATGATCTTGCTAGCAGCCGTGAGTTACCCTCTCAGAAAACGTGTGCTGCAGAAGTAGTGCCTAGTTCAAAACAGATGCTTATGATCTATACTCATAGCAACCCATGAAACATCCCGGTAGCCTTTGTCTGGGAAAGAATCTTTAGCAATTCTGCAGACAACTTCTTGGATTGACGGAGTCGTTTGAGAGTTGGAAGGCCTAGAAATTCTTGGTCTGTTGACTTGCTAGTTTGGGGCTCCCGTATTTTTCAGCACGTTCGAACTATGGAACGGCATTTTGCTTTACTGTCTAGGCCTTCACAAGGAGGTCCCATTGTTGCACCACAGAAGCACCAACCATTGGTGTTATCCAGCATTTTGCTTGGGATGTGCTCATGATAAAGAGCGATGGTCTCTTCAAATGGTGTCACCTTTTATAGGGGCATATGGATCCTGATTTTGGTATCTACGCTGATCACATGAGGCTATATAAGGAGCAGCGAATCAGCCACCAACCTGAACATCCTGCAGTAAGGCATCTCTTCAGCAAAATGAAGTAATGATCAGGTAGCCCCAAGCGTCCAGGCACCTTCATAGTATATGCATTTACCTTGGGTACAACGAGGTTCCTATGAAGACACTTTGGGGCCTGCGTATCTAGGAGAGGACTACCTGGACCATTTAGGTAGGATAGACATCCTTGGTGCCTTATCCCAAGCGCAAGCATCCTCCGTCGGTGGCTCTAAGATTTCCTGGCCTCTAGGTGTCTGCGTAGGAATTGGAGAAATAGGGTGGTTTCCCAAAACTAGGGGTACCATTTTGGGGGTCTTTATAATAATAATAATAGTATATTGGGTCTACAATGGGTCCCCTCACTGCTGGAAAGTACCATAGTCATATGCATCTCCCGAAAGATCTCTCCGAGCCGCCATGGAAGCCCGAAGCTCGAAGCCTCCAACCTTAAAACTTACATCCCAACTCTCAGACCTATAGTCCCCCTTAAGTGGACAGAATACAGGGTTTACGGGTTTAGGGTATAGGCCCCTTCTAGTAGATAGAATATGGGGTTTAGGGTTTAGGGTTAAGGGTGTAGTCCCCCTTAAGTAGATAGAATATGGGGTATATGGGATCTTACTATAACATACCCAAAGCCATATTCTATCTACTTAAGGGGGATCATAGCACTACTAACCTTCAAACCCAGGGCCAAAATCCCGAAGCTTACCCTAAACCCTAAACCCCTAAACCCAAGCATGAGGTTCTGTAACTTTCAAGTTACTCTGCTGGGAATGCTCAGGACTTGAGGCTTGAGGTCGAAGGCTTCCCTTGCATTTGCCATTTACCTTTTAAAGTTGGGGATTAGGGGCTTAGGGCTTGAGGTTCAAGATGAAGTGTCGGGTTTGGGGTTTGGGGCTCAGGGTTTGAGCTTGACGGTCTCAAAGTCTAGGCGGTGTATATATTCATAGCTGCAAGGTGTTTTGGATGGGTTTCAGGCTCAGGATCAGGCCGTGATAGTAGATTCTTCAAGCCACGACTGTCTTTTCAGTTTGTGAGGAAAGCCATGGAACACTTGTTGGACGCCAGGAGGGCTTGAACAGTTTCTAACATTCTTTCTTGTCATGCGGCATGAGGCCAGGTCTTGCAGCCGGGGGCTTCATCAGATACATTGGGGTTATGTAGGGATGATGGAAAAGAAAATGGAAACTACTACGTTATAATAGGGTATACAGTAGGGAATCGTTTAATTTCAACTGGCATACTAACTACAAGTCCCCATACTCGGGGTTCCGCGCAAGGACAGGTCATTTTATCGGGGAACACAAGCCCGGGCAAAACCGCAAGTATTGAGACCAAGTCGGTCACGTAGGGACTGTGCCAAGACGTCCCTAAACCCTAAACCCTAAACCTACCGTTCAAGATTGTGAGCTCCCGCGCTTCTTCACCTCCCCATCTCTTTCTTTTGCAGCATCGCCAGGTAGAACATGAGGGGAATGGCATTCCTTTACCTTCCTAATCACCATTGCAGAGGATCACCTTTTCGCCCCCTCCCACAAGTAGAAATTCCGCAAGTTCAGACCATTCTCAATTTCAGTTTTTGCAGCTACTAGCCTTCTTGAATACGTCCGATGTTTTACTGAAGTGAATGGAACAAAAGCCGGCCTGAGTCCAGCCTACTTTGCGAGTGAAGTAATATTCAGAAAGTCCCAACCATATCAGGCTTATTCCGCCAAGTTAAGACGACCAGGCAGGGACAATGTCTGCATTCGGGTTCGTGGCGCCCTCTTTGTTTAGAAGGGTTCCCGTTGAATCAAACATGAATCCAAGGTTGCTCGAATCTGTCTGCGGATTATGAAGTGAGCCGCCTTTTGAAGTCCTCCAAAAAATCTTCAAGTCAATGTAGAACCTTTGGGGCCGTTTACATTGCACGGTCACAGCCAGCCTCGGCTAAAGCTCGCAGACTGAAGCCGGAACCTGCAACATGTCGTCGATGTGGGGAACTCTGAAAACTTCAGCCGTGAAGCCACTATTGGCAGGCCAAGTGATATTGGGAGCCCCGTGGATAATAGCAGGGTAAGCAGCGGTTTGTTGGGCATGATAGCCAGCCTTGCATTCAGGCTCTGTGCTTGCACGCGAGTTTAAGTTGATGCTGAGTTGCTCCTGCGCGGCCATGTTGACATCCAGCAGCTGTCATTTGCATCGGCGCGGGCCAAAGAATACAATCCGCGGTGCGAGTGCTTTTGGAGTTGAAGTTGTCCTTGCCAGGTGCTGGGCATTGTTGCTGACGCGCCAGCGTGCTTGCAGCCTTTGAAAACCAAGGGCTTGTGTAGTTTTGATAAACATGTGTTACAAGTTTAGCCAGCCCACGGCCAGCTTACTTCGCATTTGCTTCACAACTTCGGCAGCATTTCCACCAGCCATGCAGCTCGACCACGTATCCACAGCCCAACATTCAGGTTGTGCTCGTGACAAAGTTCCTTATCTCATGTTTCGCGACGGGCTCGTTTGCGATGGCCACGGCGCCTGCCCCAACGGCGGCATCCAAAGCAGCATGCTCGCTGTTAGGCCCCGCAGCCATAGTGGGTTTTAGTTTGACGCTGCGAAGCTGCTTGTGCACGTGGTTGTCTACAACATGGGAGATTTCTGCAAAAGGAAGTCTGATATCGGTGATAAACGGTGATCATTTTCATCGTGCCTGGGCAATGCATTGTCCGGGGCAAGCTTGTTCCAATTGAGGCAGCGAGGTTGCTCTGGCCAAAGCAGCACAGCGGATTGATGCTTTTGTGTTGCTTGCCGGCCACGGCTCGATGCCATGTTCTGCACGTCAGGTTTTGTTTGCATGGGTGGTTGAAACATTTTGTATCTCATTACAAGACATCATTGCAACCCACATTTTTTGACAGCCCATTCCCGACATTGTAATTAGCGTGAGCACGCGCAGCTTGTTTGAAGGCAAGGCAACGTTCAGCTTGAAAGCAGAAGCGGCAGGCTCCCAAATCACCGAATCATTGGTTTGGACATGATGAAGGCTTCGCAACAACCATTGCGTGTTAGACTACTTTTTTTTGTTGTATTCTGTATGTAGCGCAGCTATTTACGTTTTTTTTTTCCTTCTGAAAATTATTTGGGAATTCCGGCATACATTCATGATCTTCAATTTTCGTCTTTGTGCTTCCTTGCTCCAGGCAGCCCGGCCAAAGCTGCCGCTGCGCCGACAGGCGTCAGCAGCTGTGAGCACGATTGCCGGCAGGAATCTAGAAGACGCGGACCTTGTTGACGGAGACGTATTCCTTCATGTTTTGTGATGTTTTTGCACAACATTTGCTGCCTTCGTGGTGGCAATCTTTCTGTTTTTATTTGCGCGAATCATGGCT